GTGAAATTAATGATTTATTCAATTATTTCCACACTGTCTGGTCAATTTTCTTTGGAATGGGAATAAATATGGATTTTTTTTTTTCCAGTCAACTGGCCAGATAGTTGTCCTCCAAATTTCTTGGGACAACCTCGTGAATGTGCCCAGAGCAGCACCTGTGTGTGGAAATATGTCAGTAGGTATGCCATCAATTCCTGGACCCTTGGTTTTTGCCAGTTCCTTCAGAGCAGCCTGAATTTCCTCCTTCATCACCACAGGCTCTTGATCCTATGTTGTCTCATTAAATTCTTGTGTGTCAACCCATTCTTTTTGGCACAGCGACTCTGTAAACTCCTTCCATCTTCTTTCTGATGCTTCTTGGGTCATCCAACTTTGTGCCCACAGCATCCTTAATTACTGCAACTCAAGGTCTGAATTTGTTCTTCTGTTCCTTCAGCTTAAGAAATATTGAGCCGTGTTCATACCTTTCAATTACTCAGCTCTTTGCACATTTCATTAGAATACTTTGCTTTGTCTTCCAATGTTGCCTTTTGAAATCTTCTGTTCAGTTCCTTAATATCGTGACTTATTCCATTTGCTTTGGTTTCTTGGTGCTCTAGTACAATATTCAGTCTCTTCTGACATTCACCTTGGTCTTGTCTTCTTTCTCGGTCTTTGTAATACCTTCTACATTCTTCATGGATGATATTCTTGATATCCTCCCACAGTTCATATGGTCTTTGTTCATTAATATTCAAGGCCGCAAACCTATTCTTGAGATGGTCTTTAAATTCAGGAGAGAGAGACTCAAGGACATACTTTGGTTTTTATTTTCTTTAGCTTCAATTTGAACTTGGATAAGTAGCTGATGATTTGCTCCACAATCTGCACTTGACCTAGTTTTCACAGCTGATATTGAGCTTCTCCAATGATTTTACCCAAAGATGTCATTAATTTGATTCCTATGTAAGCCATCAAGTAAAGTCCATGTATATGATCACCATGTTTGTTTCTTATTATAAGGCATTGGCAATGAATAAATCATTGATCTAGCATTCTGTCTCCAGCCTCACTTCCGTTACTAAGTCCATGTTTCTCTTACTATTGATCATTCTTCTCCATTCTCAACTTCTGCATTCCAGTCACCCATTATTATTAGTGCATCATGGATACATGTTTGATTGATTTCTGATTACAACGGCTGATAAAAGTAATCAATCTATTTCCTAATCTTTGACTCTAGTTGTTGGTGCATAAATTTGAATGAGAGTATATACAGGACTTTCCTGTAAGATAATGGATATTATCCTGTCATTCACAACATTGTATTTCATGATGGATCTACAAATTGTCAATTTAGCTATGAATGAGACCCCATTTTTTCTCACCTTTTCATTTCCAGCATAGTAAATCATATGACTGTCTGCTTCAACAGTCCCATGACAATCCATTTCATTTTCCAAGTATCTAGTATGTCCTGATTTATGCATTCCATTTTTTCCTTAATAATATCTAATTTTCCTACATTCAAATTTCTCACATTCCATGTTCCAAGCACTAGTGTCTGTTTGCAATTGTTCCTTCTCCTTTGTGATCCTCAATACAAAAGCTAAGCCTCAGGTACCATAACTGCTAATCTAATCTCAATGTGCTCTGTTTTACATATGGTACTCAAAGGGCTGTTATTTCAGAAGAGGATGGCCAATCCTTCTCCATGTTGTTGTTGTTATGTTTCACTGAGTGGCCTGCGACCAACAGTGACCCTATGTACACTATCTCTTGATGTAATCCCATTTGTCACTGGTCACAGAGTCAATCAAACTCATCCTGGGTCTTCCTTTCCTGCATTATTCCTCCATCCATGCAAGCATGATGTTCCTCTCGAAGAACTGGTCCCTCTATAGGAACACACCCAAAGTATGTGAAATGGAGCCTCAAAATTCTTCTAGGGAGCAGGCCACGGTCTTTGCAATCACTTGCTATGCATCAGAGAGCTAGACAACGACTAGGTAAGGATGAGAGAAGAATTGATGCCTTTGAGTTGTGGTGCTGGAGAAAAGTACTGATTACACCATGAACTGCTAAGAGAGCAAGCATACAGGTTCATTCTGGAGAGGGTGAAGCCAGGCTGCTCCTTGGAGACAAGGATTCTGAAGCTTTGCCTGACATACTTTGGACATGCTGCGAGGAGGGGCTAGTTCCTAGAGAGGGGTATCATGCTTGGGAGGGTGGAGGGACAGTGCAGAAGAGCAAGACTCTGTATGGGATGGACTGATTTCGTGACTGGAGTAATAGGGGTAGGTGTGTCGGAGACAGTAAGACTGGCACAGGACAGAGCAGGGTTTAGGGCTGTTGTACATAGGGTTACAATGGTCACTGGTGACTCAACAACACATAACAACAACAACAGGAAGCAACCTATCTTTACTCTCTCCAGGACACACTTTTTTGTTCTCTTAGCAGTCCACAGTATATTCAATGCTCTTCTCCAACACTACGACTCAATGACATAGATTCTTCTAGTATCATCCTTCAGCTCTCAAATGCACAACAAGTAATTATGAAGACCATGGCCTGGATCAGGAACATGTTACGTCTCCAGAATGACACTGTTGTTCTGCAATACTCTAAAGAAATCCCTGAGAGCAGAATTCCCTAATCCAATTAGTCTTTTGATTTCCTGACTGCTGGTGCCAAGTGTTGTGAAACCAAGCAAGCAGAAGTTATCAAGAGCCTCAATTTCTTCTCTGTTAATCATGATACTGCTGGTTGATCCAGTGGTGAGAATCTTTGTTTTCCTTGATGTTGAGCTTCAATCCATATTGAAGACTGCAGGCCTTAACCTTCTGCAGCAAATGCCTCATGTCTTCTTCATTTTCAAAAAGCATGGATTTGTCATCTGTATAACACAGGTTGTTGAGGATTCTTCCTCCAACTCTAATGCCACATTCCTCTTCATGAAGCCTACCCTCCCAAATGATCTGTTCTCCATATGAATTTAAAAGGTATGAAAATATGATGCATCCTTGACGCACACCTTTCCTGATACTAAGCCATGCAGTGTTTCCCTGTTCTGTTCTAACTACTGCTTCTTTGTCCAAGTATAGGTTTTGCAGGTGCAAAATTAGGTGTTCGAGGAATCCCATTCTTCTCAACATAGTCAAATGTCTTTGCATGGTCAATGAAACACAGATAGACATTGCTCTGGTACCCTCTGCTTTCAGCCAAGAGCCATCTAATGTTGGCTATGATGACCCTAGTGCCATGGCCTTTTCTCAACCCAGCCTGCACATGTGGCAGTTCTCTGCTGATGTAATCTTTCAGTTGCTTCTGGATAATGTTCAGCAGGATCTTGCTTACATGTGATACTGAGTAATATTATTAGATAATTTCCACACTCTGTTAGGTAACGTTGCTTTGAAATTGGAATAAATATAGATCTCTTCCAGTCAGTTGGCCAAGCAGTTGTCCTCAGATTTTTTGGCATAATCTGGTGATTGAGTCCAGAGCAGCATCTGTTTGCCGAAGTATGTCAATTGGTATTCTATCAATTCCTGGGCCTTTTTTTTTTTTGTAAATTCCTTCAGAGCAGCTTGAACGTCCTCCTTTGTCATTGTAGGCTCTTAATCATATCTTGTTTCATGACTTTCTTGTGTCAGCTACTTCTGTTTGGTATAGTGTCTTTTCCCTAGTTTGTCTTAATTTGAGTGCTTGAGTGTTAGAGCAGTATTTGACAAGCATTTTACCCAAAAGAGTTGATAAGAGTATGTAACAACTAAGAGTATGTTACAGATCAGGATTTGACTGCAGGGACTCACCTTTCCTGCCAGACCAAAGTTTGTGCAGGAACACAAGACTGTGTAGCTGTGTGGAGACTATGTGGTGACCACTGCCCACGTGGTCACCCTCTCCAGCACTGCCCCTGCACAAGGAGCACAAATATCACAGGGGCATGGAAAGGAATGGGAGTACAGAGGTGGTAGAAAGCTTGAGCTATCAAATCAGAGTTGGCTGGTGGCAGGGATCAGAGATGTGGGAGGGGCAAAGAGAGAGAACTGATCTGGATGGTGGCAGATTGGGGTGAGGGTTGGAAGACAACACAACACATAACTAATCTTGTTGTGTTGTTTTTATGTGCTTTTGTGCCACCTGCAACTTGTAGTGACCCCATGTACAACAACTCTGAAGCCTGCCCTGTCCTGAGCCAGTCTCACTGACTCTGACAAACCTACGCCCATTGCCCCAGTTACTGTATCAATCCATCTCATCCAGGGTCCTTCTCTCCTGTGCTGTCCCTCCAACCTTCTGAGCATGACAGCCTTCTCCAAGGATCGGTTCCTCCTGTCCACATGCCCAGAGTAAGTGAGATGGAGCTTCAAAATCCTATCCTCCATGAAGAAACGCAATTTTACCGAAGACAGATATACTTGTTTTCTTGAAAAGGAATTTTTTTTTATCCAACATATTAGATTTCATCTCACTCTTATTAGGGGATTTAGAACAGAATAAGACACATGTTGTTTATAAGCAAGCCATAACTAAATAATGTTAACGAGCAAGATGAATGAACCAGGAACTTACTTTTTCTAATATGAAAGATTTGGATAGTAAGCTGTAAGACACCACAAGGGATTCTTGGCCTACTTGTAGACTATTTAAATAAAACCTTGACATATGAGTTAAAGTATGATCCAGTAACCATTGTCAGCTTTATCCATCTCAAAGAACAGAATTCAAAGGTCCAAAAAATAATTTATTATGGGAACAGGAACAAGAAGGGATAGATTACTTAATGATATGCCCTTTTTTGATGACAATAATTTATTCTGATTTTATTTTAAAAATGGACTGTTGGAAGAAAAAAGGCTTGTGTGCTTCAGTTAAATTGTGGTAGTGGAGTAATAAGGAAGATGGCCTACAAGAAATTTTTCAGAAGTTACTCTGCAAATAGAAAAACATACTATACTCTGTGTGAGAAAAACACCTAAAACCATAGAGACTTAAGGGTCATATGAACTTACCTCTATGTGTTCCAAGTTTGTTGTTCTCTGAACAAGCATATTATCTTTTTGTAAAATGTCCCTGTACTTAGCTGTCAGTTCATTGTATTGCTTATTGGCCAAATCAAGTTCAGATAGAGACACACTATTATCTAAAACTTTCTGGAGAGCTGCAATCTTGAACATGGCCATTTCCTATGTAAAAGAGGACACAATAAGTTATTTTTGATGTATTTTCTGGTTAAGCTTTAGCCACTTCTGGAAAGATAATATCTGCTTTCACAGATTTAAAACCACTTAAAAAATTCTCATACAAGACAAAATTTTAAAAACTGTAGCAATAAAATAAATTTCTTTCCTGAGAGAAATGATGACAGTTTTAAGTCATGAACCATAATAAAAGTAAAAAGTAAATTAATCATATCTTTTAACTCTCTCCATTATGTACTGAAATTCAATTCATTGGGGAAAGTATAATAAACAAAATTTATTAAAATTTTCCAAAGATACTGTCTAAATGAAATGTCTTATTGATATTTATTATCTTTAGAAAATTTTAATAAATTTTGTAAGGTTAAAAATAACTTGCCTTTTGAGATGCTAATGCAAAATTAGTGTTAGTAAAAAATTATAAGAAATTTATGGTTAGAATCTATTTTTAAATAAAATAATAAACTCTACAAAGTAAATGTAAGATACATAGTTGTCAGAAAACAACAAAGGATTGCTCAAAGACTAATGAATTCTTATTTTAAGGACAAACTAGTCAGTTTTGAAGGACTCCTTTAGGAAATGGTTCAAGTCTGGTGTAGTGTCACTGTGAGTCGCAGTCGATCGACATCACCTAATAATACTAACAACTGATCAAAGTTGAAAATGACAAATGACTCCAGGAAACTGAAACATAATAACTATAACCAGTTTATGAATCTGTAACATGATAGTTAAAAATAAGAATGCTGGAAAAATTCCAAAAACAGGAGCAAAGTACCTCACCTCTACTCTGATTGTGCCTTTCTAACAGGAATTATATTTCAAGATAAGCAAACAGATTGAACAAATAAACAAAAGCTCCCTGTTAGAAAACAATGCCTGTTAATATAGGTAGTAAGAATGATATAATTAGAAAATCTCTGGTGGTCCATAGTGTGTTGTGTTGTTAATCTAAGGGTACATATCCCTGGCAGTCTGAATCCATTACTGACTAAAAAAAAGGAAAGATAGACCACCTCTGGCCCAATTTAACCCTTGGAAATCCAATGGATAGGTACTATCTGTTGACTCATGAATGATGGAACTGACTCAATGGCAGTGAAATAACTGAGTGAGGCAACAAACATCATTAAATATCACTGAATGCAAAAACTATTACAAGAATTGACAAAGAACTGTTCAACTACACGTTGTTGTTGTTGACTGCCATCGAATGACGCAATTCACTCTGAACAAAAGCCCTGAGGCCTTTTTATAACTATTGTTTCCCCAAGTTCACCAAGTTTCCAGAAGCATGTGGTATAGGAAGTGGATGCCACTCCTGCTTCGAAACCTGTCTTAGAACTGGGAGCCCCACCAAACACTGTTCACCATGGACAACCATTATGGCATTTGAGACCCCAATGGTACAAGGTTCAGTGTCACAGCAAACCCAGATTACCTCAGCAACCTGACAGAAGAGTACTGTATGACTTAGAAGAACGTTCCTCTAAAACGTCACAACAGGGGATTAAAATATAATCCCTCGGGCCCAACTTTTAAATATAAGGGCCCTCCAGGAGGTTTTGTCAACTCTAAACAAGAGGCTTAAATGAAAAAAAAAAAAAAAAACGGTCAAACATTCCACAATGACCCTCAATCAAAACAAGAGAGCTCATCTTATAGAGTCTAGTTGCTTCACCCAGTCTCCCAAATGGAGACAAGAGCTTGGCACTAAATGTTAAGGGTCCTCTTGGAGGTCCTGTTGCCTCTAAACAAACAAACATTCCACACAGATCCTAAGCCAAAACAAGAGCAGCATCCTACAGACTCCAGCCACTTCATCCAAGTCTAAAATTAAAGACAAGGGCTTGGCGTTATATGTTGTTGTTGTCTGTCATTAAGTGCCATCTAGTATTGACCCTATAAACAAAAGACTTTAACCTTGTTCTATAACTATTGTCCTTTCTCAAAATCCATAGTTTCCACAGGCATGCTTATGAAGTGGATGCCACTGTCTTAACCTGTGAGCTCTACCAAACATTGTCAACCGTATGTAACCATTACGGCACTTGACAGATAAATGGCACAACATTCAGTATCACAACAATCCAAAGTTACCGCAATACACAGAAATGACAGAATAGTACTGGACCACTTAGGAGTTTTCATTTCAAAAACAATTAAAACCACGCCCTGAAATATCACCAGTAAACTAATCTCTGAATGGAGATATTTAACTGTCTTCCTTTTTACACAGCCTCCAATTATGAAACATTCATTGAAAAAGAAAACATTATGTCTCATTAAGTAATTAAATACAAAATACAGAGTAACATTTATGAAGAATTCTTCCAAAAAATGTTTAAACTGAATCTAATGAAGGTTCAACATTAAATTCTATAAAAAAGAGAGAAAGAAAAGTTAAATAACACAAGGAGAGAATTAAATGAGCATATGGTGTATGATTATGCTAGCTGATATAAATTTATTAAGGGTAAAATATTTAAAAAAGGTACAGAAATTTATACAACAATACTCAGAGAGAAATGTTAGTAACTAAATTACTCTTACAAAAAATAGATGATGCAATTTTAAAGAAATAGTAGTTAATAAACATTAACTATTATTAGTCCAGATGATAAATAATCAAGATTCTACCTTCTCTTGTATGTATTTGAAAATTTTTATAATTAAAACCAAAACAAAATCAAGTATACCTTAAATCTTTGCAAGCATCCAATTTTTTCACAAACTTCTGCCTCCATTGATAACAATTCACTCTTTTGTTTCCCATTTTCCTTTCTAAGTTGTCGCTCCATTTCTACTAACGTTGTATATTGTCTTATGAGTGACTTTTCATTCACTTGCAAGACAGTGATTTTTCTACTATTTTCTGAAAGTAATTTTTTTATTTCATCTGAATCCATCTGAAGAACACTAAGCAAATTCTGGCAAAGAAATATTTACAATATTTATTTATCTTAAATTTCTTAGTTTGTACAGTAGTATATACTGACTTTAAAAATGTTTCACTTACATTATATTCTTTCACTTTTATAGCATCTTGTTGGATTTGATCTTCTAGTTTTCTCTTTTCCTCTTTTATCATTACAGACTCTGTTCTCCAGGTCTCCTTTTCACTTTAAAACAAACACCAAAACAAAACCCAAAAATAACAATATAGTAAAACTAATAAAGTGTCTTTATTATAGAGATAACATTTCATCATGAAAATATAAAAAGACTTGTAAAAAGAGTGATCTTAAATGGAATAGAAAAATAATTAGTATTTCCAACTAATTCTGAAAATCAAGTCTCAACAAACTGATTCTACTCTTAAATTTGAGTCTCAAATATTTGTAAAATATTTAGGATGCAAATAAAGGAGAAATAATTAGATTAAAAGAGTTAGTGGAGATATGCCTGACTACTAATGAGATTTTTTACACTGCCTCCAAGTGTTGGGCATAAACCAATTACATGCCATAATTCTCCTTATCACAGTGCAGACATGAACATAACACTCAAGTCTGCTAAAGAGACCTAAGTCAAAATTGACACTCATGTCTGCTAAAGAGATCTAAGTCAAAATTGACACTCATGTCTGCTAAAGAGATCTAAGTCAAAATTGACACTCAAGTCTGCTAAAGAGATCTAAGTCAAAGTTGACTGTAAACTTTTGGAAAGAATGTTAACCTATAAATAAAAAGATCTTCACCACTGACTAGGAATCAACTCATAGCTGACTTCCCAGTGGACATTGGAGAATTTTAAATTGGAGGAGACTATCTTTATCTCTAGGAGAGACTGATAGATTTGAATTGCCATAGAGAGAGGCAGGGCCTTTGAGTTAAGAGTGTAACTCCTTAAGGACTCTACCACCAGTGGTTCCTAACAAGATAAGTAGGAGAAAAGTGTCCTTTTTCTTTAATAGGTATGGTTCCATTTACTTCGAATTCTAGTAGCTATTTAACAACCACAGTAGGAATAATGACAAGCCTGGTTCTGACACTTATGGATATGATTCTATGCCAAGAGGAACTACAGGGCAAAGATGTTTTAAGCACTTGGTAATTATCACTTTTAATGTTATTCACCTTTGGTTAGGTATTCTGATACACACTAAGGAAATAACTCTATTATTATATACAGTTTTTACCTCCTAAGGATTAACGAAATAAAGATAATTATGTTAGTTAGCTATGATGATATATTAAAAAATTATAATGCTGGGTAATGCTAAGAATAAGAGATGATATTATAAGCTGCTTATTATAAGCTATATGTTAAGTCGGGCATTTTCATGTAATTTAGTTATGTTTCATAATAATCCTATGAAGAAAGTATTAACATCATGGAATTTTAGAGTATAAGAACTGAGACACAGATAAGAAAAATGACTTCACAGAAGAAGAAATTCAGATGGCTAACAAGCACATGAAGAAATGTTCAAAATCCCTAGCTCTAAGAAAGATGCAAATCAAAACAGCTATGAGATATCACCTTACCCCAGTCAGAATTGCAAAATTTAACAGAAGAGCAAGCAACAAATGCTGGTGAGGTTGTGGAAGTGTAAAATGGTGCAACCACTGTGGAAGGCAGTATGGCGCTTTCTCAGAAAGTTGCAAATAGAGATACCATTTGACCCAGAAATTCCCCTACTTGGAATATACCCTAAAGAGACCATAAACATCCAAGCAGATATATGCACACCCATGTTTATTGTGGCTTTGTTCACAATAGCAAGGAGCTGGAAACAACCTAAGGGCCCATCAACAAACGAATGGATAGAGAAGCTGTGGTATATTCACACAATGGAATACTAGCTGCATTGAAAAACAAGGAGCTCATTCAATATTATTCAAAATGGGTGACCCTGGAGGACATTTTGCTGAGTGAAGTATCTCAGTCACAAAGAGACAAATACTACATGGTGCCACTGTGGTAAAGCAGGACTGACCTCAGGGTTGGGAGGAGACTGAGTAGGATGGGTTCAATAAT